GGGGATGCTGCTAGACATCCTACAATGCAAATGTACAGGACACCAAAAACTTATCCAGCCCCAGTGGCAATAGTTCTGAGGTTAAGAAACCTTGACCTAGCTTAATGCTGCCTGTGTTCAGATGAAGAAATGAAATCCAAAGAGTTTAAGGGACTTGACTGACACAGTTCTAATCCTTGGCAAAGTCAGTTCTAGAGCCTGGGTTTGGGATTAGGGTGGGATTCCTAAAATCATTTGCAATAGATATTGGTTGGATTATAAGTGGGCAGAGCCTGAGACCCTGGACCACTTTAATTATATTTCCATGGGAAAAGCAACTGTAAAATTTTATTTCTAGACCTTTCCTTTGTCATTCAGGTATCTGTTGAATGTCTTATCAACCGTTTACCAACCTATGTTGATCATTTCATGCAAATATGGCAAGAGCTTTTATGTACACATTATTTAAATGAGTTTAAATGGTACTGAGCTCTGAAAACAATAAAACAAAGTTTTCCAAAACTAGAGAACAAATCATGGTATTTTCTCCTAAACATAGAGTACAAGGCACATTTTGCGGAACATCTAACATGATTCTGAATATTCAAAAATTAATTAATAACATTGATTTTTGAATAATACTTCACTAAAATATAAACACCTGTCAACCTTAATTTAGTTTTCAAGGGTTGAGGTCAATATAACCACATTTTTGTACAGTTTGTAGATTTTTAACCAAAGTTACTAATTTTAAAACTATAGGAAGAAACAACCAACAAAAATAAACTGATTTATCTTCCCCAGTGAGAAAAACATGATGGAATTGAAGTAATTTTCACTATTCTTGTCATTCACACAAATATAAACTACAAAATCACATTTTTCAGAAGTTGAAGATTTTTCAGCTTTAAAAATGGGGACTATAATCTAAAACTGAATGCCTCATAAAAGTAAAATACTACCTATCACCACATATTGGCTTTAAGTCTACTTGTCAGCATAAAATAATTTAGGAGACCTCTTCAGTATCCTCAATTTAATTAAGGGCTTCCAACTACAATAGTAAACATGAATTATATCTTTTTCTTTCTTTGAATTCCAAGACTGCATTTTAAAAAGAGTGACATGCTGTAGAAGAAAGTAAATGATTAGCGAGGTCTAAATTTATTTGCAGCTGGCTTGAGTATCCTGACAATAAGCCATTATTCCCTTACAATGCACTGAAGTATGGATCTAGCAAGGAAGGGAAAAATAGGAAACCTCCATAATTCCATTGCTCGAAGAAGAGATATACATAAAAATCTCCATTGCATATAAGATTCAAAAACTCTGATTTTAAAATGTTCACATTGATACAGCCTACCTTTTAAAGGTGGGGTGGGGTTGGAGTTTTATCAGTCAAGGTGTCATTTGTGTGACTATTTGGAAAATATATCCCCTTCTTCAGGCATAAAACATTAGTGGGATTTTAATCAGAAGCTCAGGTTTTTAGATGCCTTTGCTGATTTGCTTGTAATAGCCCAAGCTGAAGTCAAATTACAAATTTGCTTTCATTTGTCTGCTAGCTAATCAGAAAAGGAAACAGATTAAGTTTGCACTCCACCATCTATGTCTCTCTGAGGTTATCGATTCGCCTTAGTCAAGTAGCCTGTAATAACCTGTTATTCCAGTAGGGATTCTAGAAATATCTCAGGTGCTTTGTTCATCCCATCCATTTAGTAAGAAATATCGAAAATGCCATGAAATGATGCAGAAAATTAAGATGGAATAATGTCAATAATCTAAACCGGTTTAAAGTTACTGGATGCCATCTGTCCAAATTATCTTCATGACTTTCTCCTGTGAGATAGTGTGTATCAGATTAAATTAATTACAATTACATTTACAATTATATTTTTCACTAGGAATATTAAATAAAATGGTAAAAAAATATAGCAAAATGCATTTCTCTCAATTACTATCATTCTCTTAATCTGAAGTCTGACTCTTATGAAAAGAAAAGTTCTTGTTGGCTAACCTGCTAACATCAAATTTGTGCTGGGGTTTCTTTTCAACCAGATAATCTGTTTTATTTGGAAGGGGAAGTTCAAACAGTCAATATCAAGGTTTTAAACTTGATCCAAAATTAAAATTGCCAGATTTAGTGATTAAAAAAAGAGAGCCAGTTATTTGAATTATTTCTAGCTGCCTATGCATACATACATTGAAAATTATTGCAATGAAAACCCCTTGTAGTATATTTCTTTATCTCATAGGCCATTAGAAATGATTCAAGTTTCCCTGGGCTTCCTGTATTTTTAGGTGCGAAACTGGCGATTGTATCCAAGATCAACGTTCTTTAGGACACACCGTTTAAGACACTACAGAGTTCTGTATCTGTGGCTAACATTTGACCCACCTTTACACAAGTAACACTGCTCAGTAGTGGATGGAAACTGCGAGAAGATACTTGTTCTTTCCCAATATCTATACCATTACCATCTTTAATTTCCTGGCACTCTGTCTCTTCAAAAAGTATTATCCTAGCCCAGCCCGTGTGCCTCAGTGGTTGAGCATCGACACATGCACTGAGAGGTCACAGGTTTGATTCCTGATCAGGGCACATGCCCAGCTTTCGGACTCGATCTCCAGCAGGGGGTGTTTCTCTCTCATCATGTTTCTATCTCTCTCCCTCTCCCTTCCTCTCTCTGTAAAAATCAATAAAAACACATACAAAAAATATATTATCCTATAGTCATGCCTTTAGCTGGAATGAATTCCAACTTGAAACTCCCATAGATACAACATCTCAAAATCAGCTCTACAGGATGATTCTAAAGGGGAAAAGGTTAATTCCTGGCACATACTCCAAAGCTAGAACCTCTCCATCTCTGGGTATCACATACTACAATTATGTTTCCACACAATTTCAACGATCACCTTCTTTACTTTTCCTCCCATTTCTGGGATTTTTCTCACCCTCTTTCGTCTTCCTGGAGTGTGCTTCCTGGCTGTGTCCGCTTGGGTAATTCTCCCTCTTTGTTTATTGCTCCTGCAGAGGTCTTTTTCCAATTTGACCCATATCTCATAGCAAGTACCCTGCACGCAGTGAGGGCTTCGGAGCACTTCTTACTAACTGCTCAAATGCCTGAAGTGTGTTGAGACTTCAGATAAAACTTGAAGCAAGGGGACAAGATTTGTAAAGTTTGGGGGAGGGAATTATTTTGTCTAATCCATCTTATGAAGCAGGCCCTTGGTCTGTTTTCAGTCCCAATACATCCCTCCTCTCATGTTTCTCCTGTGAAATTGCCAAAATGCGTCTTGTATATTGGAACCCGGCAACTATCAGACCCCAGCACTGGCTACAACAGGCCTCTAAAACTCTAATACCTACGGGAGACAATAATGTTACTGAAGTGAGGAAAGAGTATCTGTGTAAGAGACAACAGAAGCGGTGATGGCTGTGGCAACCTGGATAGTATATCCTAGACATAACCTTAGAAAGGCTTGAATGGAATATATTTGGAAAATTTAACTATAAGAATTGTACTTGTGTGGTTAACTAATGCATTAATAACAGAGCAAGCTATGCCTGGCAACTAGAAGAGTCAACAGGTAAAAAGATGTACCCGAGTCCACCACTGGCCAGGGGAGAGGGAACACTGAACCTTTCATTGGAGCATCTGGTCTACTCCTCAGATTATACATATCCTCATTAGGGAAATGGATGCATTAGATTATCATAGCCTATGATAGGAAATAATCACTTAACTCACCCCTTTATTTGAATTTCATGGTCTCAGTAAGAACATTTTAGATTGCAATTTTGGCTTCTAATATGGATTTCTTAACAAAAGGTCATCCAAATGGATATTTAGCTATTCATTAATCAAGTTTCTCATGAAAACTTGCTAAAATGGTTAAATAAATCATTGTGTTATTTTCATAAAATACAGTACTATATTTTAAATGGAGAGCTATTTGCAAATACATGAATAAATCTTAAAAACAAAATGAAATATAAGTGCAAGCTGTAGTAAGATAGATATAGTATGATGTCATTTCTTAAAATTATAAACATGTATAATATTACCATAATATTTAGGGATATATATACACATATGGTAAATACCTTATTTGGGAGAGTGGTTACAACATAGTGAGAAATGGAGGGGATGTTAGAGAAGTATGTGATAAGGCAGAGACATACAAGATATTTCTGTTGCATTGCTGAATATTTTATATCTTACCCTTGGTGATGGGCACATGTGTTGATATTTGTATTTTGAATACATGAAATATGTCTTTAGTAAACCAAGCCAATAAACAGCAATAGAAACAAATTTTTAAGAACCTGTAGAAGGAAGTTATGGCTAGTGTGGGAGTTTGGCTAGTATTAATTCAACTTCCCATCGTTTCTATTTCAGCAAAACTCAGGACAAGATCTAGAAGACCTCTCCAACACCAACCTGTTTCTTCCATGCAGTTCTAAGATTACCTCCATCTGGTCATCCTCAAAGCCAAGAGTATGTGAATGCTCCATTAGGATGAATGGAAATAAATGTCTAATGTTGACCATGTGAAGGGAAATTGGCTATAAGGTGCTAGAAAATTTGAAGAGTAAATGTACTTTCTAGGCAAAAGTACTGGTAATGTCAATTTATGAAACTGAGTGGGTTTCAATTCAATCTACCTTAGGTATCACCTCTCTCTAATAAAATTAAACATTCGGAAACATTTAAAATACATATAGCACTTTAAAATCTAGACATTTAATTGCCCTCCATCATTTATAAAATTCCCTATGCTCAAGTTTTTCTGACTCTGTTTGGTATATTTGTCAGCTCTCACTGGCATTATCTTCTGATAGAATATGCTACAGGTTTGTTAATAACTTCATGTTTCTATTGAATAATAGAAACTAACACCCTAAGTCTAGGAACCTTGGCACTTGCAGTCAATAGAAAATGTGCCTCAGACGCTCTAGAGTTAACCATTTAATTAATATAACTAATCTGATATAATCTAATTTATATACTTACCATTGAGAGTGCTTCTATCAATCAAATTAGTATCAACTGGCCAATAACCTCCATCTCCATGACGACCTGTGTATTGGGAAAACATGTCAGAATGTTAGTGGATATACAACATGAAAGCACAAAAGAAACAAAACAGACAGAAATAATAAATATTTTAAAATATACAAACAATTGAACACATGATGATTTTGGCCACTCCAAAGAAAGCCTGAGATTGATACCATTTTACCTTGTGAGAAAATGTTATTTTCTATACGTTAGGAAAAAGAAATTGTCATGAAAATGGACTATTAAACACGCTAAATTCAATTCATCTTTGAAAAGCTGCCTCCCTCATCCTTCCCCCCAACCCAATACTCTTGTTAAAAAGTCACCAAAGGTACAACAGCGGCACTAGTCTAAATGTTGCTTTCCAGAACATCTTGGGACAGAAAGGGTGCTTGTTCACGGCTCCCGGAGAGGCAAAGGCAAGCTATTTGGCTGCAGCAGGTCATGCCTCCGCTGTTGCCCATCTGACATGACTCGGGCAAGTTATCATTACCACTTTACAAGGGGACAACGCACTTCATCTTATAACTGGGCTTTAGGTAGCCTTTATGTTACGTGTCAGCTAGGTGCCTGGGGAGGAGCTATTAGAGATGGTGTAAAGACTGGGGCAGGGGATATAGCACAATCCACATGGCCTTAATATTTCTGACAAACACTCTAGGAAAGGAAGAAAGTTTCTTTAGTGTTACATTATTGGAAACACCTCCTTCCATTAGCTGTTCAATAGTTGTAAAAGTAATATTTAACGGAACTGAGCCAAAAATTAACCAGATAGCCTGGCCAGTGTGGCTCAGTAGTTGAGCATTGACTCATGAACCAAGAGTTCATGGGTTCAGTTCCTGGTCAGGGCACATGCCTGGGTTGTGGGCTCGATCCCCAGTAGGGAGCATGCAGGAGGCAGCCGATCCGTAATGTTTCTCTCTCATTGATGTTTCTCTCTCTCTCCCTTCCTTTCCCTCTAAAAATCAATAAAAACATATTAAAAAAAAAGTTCTCAATCACTTAAAAAAATTAACCAGATATAATTATTCTAATTCCTTTGTCTATTGGTACATTTGTAGAACTGCAATTATTTGATTAGATTTTGTGTTCTAGATCGCTATTCAGTATATCATTTATGGGGAAACATTTGGGAGTTAAATTTATATTCAAACACATACATGAATAGAGTTAATTCTCCCTTTTATTTGCTTCAGGGAGTTATTTCTGAAAGTGGTTATAATCAGCAGATGAAGTAGAGGAAGTCAACTGGGGCAGCCAGCTACAAAAACATTGGTTGTTTTCTCACATGTATAGATTTTAGTTTTCTTCTTTAAGACTCTCAAGTCCTACTCTTAAGACCTTCTTTTGCAGACCCAACACTCCTCTTACTAAAGTTTTCCCAAGATCTCATCATTTTATTTACAAAATAGTTGTGAAGGAACTATTTAAATCTTGTTGCCAGACTATACATTCACAATTTTAAAAATTCTTTTGATGTCAAGTCAGAGCTGAAGTTAGGATGTCAAGCTTCCAACAAGCAATGCATAAATTCATGAATCACTTCATATCCTGTTTTCAGCATAAATTGGCACATTTAAAATCTGCTGGCCAATGACTGTGGGTATATAAAGATGTGGAAATTAAGATGGAGTCTCATATTTGTGTGGAGGTGGTGGGAGTTGGGGGAGGTGAGAGAAGCAATTGAAACAAGAACCAATTGTGAAAATTCTGGTGGGTTGACTAAAATTTGGATAAGCTCAACCCTTTTCCAAATACCTTGCTTGTGTGACTCAGACACATTTGGAGTTTCAATGAGCAGAGGATAAGCTTTGCCCATGGGACACTGTAAGATCAGTGTTGGAAGAAATGAAGTGAGACAGGAGTTCTGTATAAATATCAAGATGACTTTTCTCATATCTGAAAGCAACTAGATTGCAAAGCAGTCAGGCAAAAGAGATGCTAACAGCCCCATCACTTAGGCCAGTAAAGCAATAAATGATTCCTGTGGGGAGTAATCCTGTATTGGCTGGAAATTGGGTATATAGCCTGTGGAGGATTTTCCTTTTCCTCTAGCATCCCGACAAATGTCTTTTTAATGAAATTTCTCATTCTCCCAGCTAGTTTGTGGGAAGATGCAAAAAACAAGCCCACAAGCACATCCATATATTACTTAGGCATAAGGCTCTATGGGTATAGCACCCCTTAGATTTAGAGAGACTATTAATTACATTGTGAATTTCAATATGTAGAAGAAAATCAGATGTCATGTGGTTAGACCTTCTGGTAAGATAAAAGAACTCTGGGAAAGCTTCCTAAATAAGAGAGGGCGGCTTAAAGCTTGAACATTCTACTCACGAAACCTAGTGTACTGACAGTGGTGAACTTTTTGCTGGTTATAATTAGATTAACACCACAAAAGAAAATTAAGTAACTCTTAACACACCCAATAGAAAGTACTTTAAAGAAACTTGATATCATCAACTAGCTAGATTGGATTGATGGTAATTTAGAATTCTTGTACTACTTCAGTAAGGAAACACAAACTCATCTCTTGTATACTGATGAGTCTGGGATCCTCTTCAACTAAAGACATGAGAATCAAATATTAATTTTGCCTGCTATGTTTCTGTTCTCTAAATGTCTTTTGAATTCCAGGAAGGCCTCCTTTATGGGTATATATTCTCTCCCTGTTTTAAGGCAAGAACCACAAAGTGTCAAATGAGGAAACACTGGAGACTGAAGAGGATACTGCTATCGCCTGGCATTTTGAAGCACTGTTAAAGGCTTTTTGCTATGGATCAAATATTGAATGCATTTAGTTAACTTGATTAATTTCATAAGCACCAATTTAGGGAAACTGAGAACTAATTAGACTTTAGTAGATGGAAAGTCAGTTAATGAAAAAAATATATAAAAGATCCCAGAGGTCTTAATTTTATTGATGGAGCATAAAACTGATAAAAATTCCTTCAAAATTTATTCAGTGTCTCCTGTATGCAAGACACAGTCCTAGATACTCAGGGAAGGGGTCGTATAAGAAGATACATCTGATATGGATCCAGCCATGACAGATAGAGCTGGTTCATAGTATCCAGGTTCTCTACAGGCCTGCTCACGACTGATATTAGCTAACTGCAGAGGGTTTTTAATTTACTCTGACTTTAAAGATTTAGAATAAGTTAATCCATCTATTACTGTAAAATCGCTATTAGATTTAATTTTTTCATTTATCTAGTATTATTAAAATAAATCATGCAAATAAAAGATAATGCATTATTTTCAGTATTATATATTCCACAATTACATTTATTTTAAAACTCCCGAATTTCTTTATTTTTGTATACTGTGTTTAGTCTCTAACCGTTTTCAAAATAAAACATTTCAAGTAAGTAAATGAATACATGATAATTTAAATATAACATTTGTGGAAATAATGTAATAGATTTCAATGTATATAGGTGTCATTATTCAAATAAAAAACCCAACATGGTTCAAAAAAATTTGAATTGGATAATTTCTATTTCCTTTTTATAGAATTACTACTAATATTATGATTTGACATGAACAGAGTAATCAAAATGTACTACACAAATATAATATCATCTGTAGAATACAAAGAAGAATTCTTGTGTAACTGTGTACCCATATTTTCTTAATAGGAATAGAAAATAATAGGCTTGACAAAAATTAAGATAATGAAGAGTAATGAATTTATGTATCACTTAACCAACTAGAACAATTTCATCAAAAAAGTCACTGCCTGCAGAAAGTTTTGGTAATTAAAGCAAAATGTTATTACTTTTCCTTAGGTTTTGGAAGTAGGAGATTGGTGGGTTTTAGAAAGAAAAATAAAACAAGAGAAATGAATTCATGGTTGACTTAAAAAAGAGAAAGGTGGCGGCTTCTTAGAATTATTCAAAATAGTTCTAAACTTATTTTATAGCTCTAAGGTAGGCCCAAACTAGAAATTTCATGCTCCTTCCTTCTTCTGATTTGCATTTCTTAAATACTATAAACTCAAAAGTCATTTAAAGAGTTACTTTTTATATTTTATTTAAAGGATAGGTCTCATTAGTAGCCTTCCTTCCATCCTTTTTGGAGAAGAGACATATACTCCCTTGGACAAAAGACAGTCCCATGATTTCCGTCACTTGCTCTCTGGATTGAGGAAAATATCGGCAGCGGTAATGACTTCCTACATGAAGTCGCTCATTGTTACATTCCTTGGTGCTTGTATACTGTGTTTTCAATGCTTAATGAGTGACTGAGGTGAGTTAGAATGCTTCATAATGTGTTAATGTGAACAAATTTCAAGTTATTACTATTATACAAGTTATTCTCTATATTCCTGCCTTACATAACACTTAAAATATTGTTTCTATATTCTTATTGTGGTGTTTGTGCATCTAAAATGAAACAACATTAATGTTTACATTAAACCCCTACTTTTAGAACACGTGGGCAGATGGAGAATATTTCCCATGAAAAAAAAATTTTAGTACCTGCCAAATATTAATACAACTGGGATTTCATTTCTAGAGTCTGATTTTTGTGAGGGATGTTTATAAGTTCAGGGAGGAGTAAATGGAAAATTAATATCCAGAGGACATTGGCAAAAGGCGATGTAGTATTTCTAATGTATTCTTTAATTTATCTTTCTAAATGAGGATAACAGAGGGTGCCCCACGAGGCACCCACACAATTAATCCCAAGAGAAAAATGAATGACCCCTAATCTAAGTTAAATGGACAGACTGGTCACCTAATAAATGATCAATATACATCTTCTCAAGGATGCAGAGCTCTGAGATATCTTCTTGATCTTAGAATTGATCTTAGAAAATAATTCAGGTGATAATGAAGGAAAGTGCATTGATTTTATATCTTGTATACCAGTGGATAAAGATAATCCATTAATGAGACTTGAATGCAATTTTACTATCCAATACACAGATCATAGTGAAATATATTTAAAGCAGATGATTTTTCAGAGGCAAGAAAATATGTCTAAGAGCTCAATATATCATGTAGTTGATA